TCTCTCCTGTATAACATCCCTTTTCAGCTTTTCACATGGAAAAATTACACTGAGGGAAATGGAGGTGAGGTGAAAGAAAATCATCCCCAGGTTACAACACTACAAATAACACTGTTATTTGAAAAGGTTACAAATCTGCCTCCATATGCTCATCATCACTCTGTTACTTGGGGTTACAGCCTCTCAGATCTGTCAGTAGATCTCTTCGCAAGAGGAGACTCACTAGCCCTCCTCCTCTAGTGGTTTTTTTGGCCAAAATGAGATAAGCTGGATTAAACTGTTTACATAACTCTTTCCAAAGTTTGGCTCATTTGGACAGAAAAGTGTTAAGGATAGTTCAGGAGAACAGCTATAGGTCCAAGAGATTCATCTGAATGGCCAGAAAACTGGCAAGGAGCAGAGGGCAGGCCAGGTCAGTGACCTCTTGGCAAGGCTGGATTCAAGAAGAGACTTCTGTCCACAGCCCAATATACTCATAGTGGCATAAACCTCTTTGCTAACATCTAAAATTCATGGTGACAAGAACTTTCTTGATGAATCAGGTTTAAGCCAAAATGAAAAAAAGAAAACCTCTTGCTCTTATTTTTAAATAAGTATCCCGATGGGACACAGAATGATATTGGTATAGGTACAGTGGTACCACTGACACAGTCAAACAGCAACTAGACTCCTCTCCAGTGTTAACTAGGTAACTTACTCCAGCAGGATGTGAACAACTGATTGACTTTTAATACATTCAACAGACATTTCAAGCCTCTCCCTTTTCCTCTGTCATGATGGATGCTGCCCAAAAATCACTCCATCTGCTTCGAGAACCCTGGCTGAGAACATGAGCAACTTCATGTCTGTAGTATCCCTGTGATACTACAGTGAATGGCCGCCTCATTTAGCCTGACCCAGGAAGAGAGAGATAAAAAGGGCTGTCTGAAGCTAGCGGCTGGCTTCCATCCGAGGAATACAGTTCACCGTCTATTGCTCTTGTGACTATTACTGAACCAGGCCAAGAAAAGCTCCCAAGTTTTGGCACGTCTCAGATTTTCCAGTCTGCACAAAGTCATGCCAGGAACATTTACTGAAGCAATTTCTTTCTTTCTTTAAAGACTCTAATTATGCACCTAACAATGTTGTAGAAATAAGTGTTGTACAAAAAACCCCAGTACAGCTCAGATACAGTTTTGCTGACAAAAGGATTAGAAGCTTAAGGCTCAGTGTTAATATTCTGAATGTACTGAAAGGCACAAAATGCAAGCTGCAGCAGAAACAGAAGGAATAGAGAGGTTATCGTTTCCAAAATCTGGAAAGGGAAAACCACACAGGAAAATGTCACACTAATCTTTCTGAATGGCAGTGGTGCCAGCAGAGTGGTAACAAGAAACATTCAGAAGTGGGCAACAGTCAAAGCTGCCTCTGAATTCCAAGAAGCTCACCTTCAAGGACAGTCCACTCCCTAGAAAATGAGAAGGTCTAGATATCCCAGAGGGCAAGATGCTACCCACGAGTGAACCGATATTCACCATTTGGCAGCTACCAGCAAGGAGGAGTCAAACTGAACCCCAAAACAAAAGTTGCCTGAAGTGTCAGTTTTCCTTGAAACCAGAGCCAGACCTCAGTCATCACTCCCAAGTTTTGCTGAACTTACACTGGAATCAACCCAAAATGTTCACTGGTTTGCTGCCTGGACCATTACCTCTGAAGCCAGTCAAATAATTCATTTATTCACTCAAGCATGAACTGGCCTTTAAAACCAGATTTTGAACAAGATGGCTGTACACTTTTCTTACTCTCAGTTTGCAGGTGAGGCACAGAAACATGACAGTACTTACATCTGGGAAGCTATCCAGGTACTCCAAATTAGAGTACATTAGGCAAAAAGCTGGACTTAGCACTTTGGCCATTAACATAATGTTAGTGACACCAGTGAAATCACAAATCCAGGGCCAAACACATCTTGGCTATGTTTCTCCGGGTTACTGATCCCAGAAGGTTTTACTCAGACCAATGCCATCGCTATGTAACTGTTATTATCATTCATCTTATTGATGCACTGCTGTGTGCTTCCTTCCTACAGAGGTTTTGTTGTATATTGACCAGAACTAGTTAAGGTTTATTTGGGGTTCCTAAGAAAATTAATAAACACAATTTGGTTTTTTCAGGACAGTGTAGGAGAGGATGAATGGAAATGCTCACTACGTAAGTATGTCATGCCTTGGGAAGAAAGTATATTACAAAATTATCAGGTACAGGCAGATGTGAAATGTTAGTCCATACTACAGCTCAGTTTCACTCCCCTTGGTTTTCACAACAGCTGTGACTAGAGCTGGACAGTGCTGGATCACAACCACCCTGTCTCACCTCTGCTCCTCACCTGGCAGTTGCAGGGAGTTCACCGAAGAGCTTTGCTTATGGAGACAGAGCAACAGCGATGGGCTCCATCCTAAACCCCACTCTTTGTCATAACCCGGGAAGCACAGTCCACGGGTGGGAGACAGAAAAAGAGGGAATCAGACGTGTTATGCTTTTTTTTTTTTTTTTTTTTTGCAGAGAGCCAAACTGCGATGCTCTAGGGTGGGTCTTGCCATCTGGGAGAAATATGTAGGGAGAAAAAATGCAGGCAGGGAGGATGAGCCGCCTCCCGAGCAGGACGGCTTCCCTCCGAAGGCAGGCTCGGCCTCCCTCCCCAGCCCAGCTTGAGTTCATTTTCCTCAAATCACTTCCACATTTCCCCTGCCGTAATTATCAAATATTTTGTTTATGACTTCACTTTTTAGGGAGGCCGCCGCAACCGGGAACGCAGGCACCGTTTGTTTTCTGTCAACAGGGCTGGGGGGGTTGCAGCTGGGGGCTTTCAAAGGTTTTCAATGTCATTGCAGTGAAAAAAAGGAAGAAAAGAAGAGCGAGAGAAAGAGCACGCGGGAGAGAGGGAGGGTGGGATAGCGGGAGGGAGAGATGGAGGGAGGGAGAAAGGGAAGGGGGATGCCCCGGGGAGCCCGGCCCAGCGGCGGGCTGTGGGGGTCCGGCCCCGGCGGGGACGAAGCCCCCTCATCCGCACCGGGGTGTCCGGCGGCCCCGCAACTTCCCTGCCCGCCCTGGCTGCCACTTTCCCCGCTCCCGGCCGCTCCCCCGCCACGCTCCCGATGCCGCGGAGCCCCCGCTGCCCCCAGTACGTCCCGCCCCGTCCCGTCCCGCCGCCGGGGCCCCGCGCCTACCTCGGCTCGCAGGCGAGCGGCGGCCAGCAGGGCGCAGAGCAGCGGGAGAGTTTTCCAGATCTGCAAGAGAGGGAGCGGGGGACGGTGAGCGCGGGCCGGGCCGGGGACGGCGAGGCCGCCGCGGCCGCCGAACTTCCCGCCAGGAGAGCCGCCTCACCATGCTGCGGGCTGCGGGCGGCACCGGCGGGGCAGGAGGAGTTGCGGAGGCGCCTTCCCCGACTCCGGCTCGCTCGGGAAGGGGAGGGCTCCCCCTCGCCCCGACCCGCCAGCCCGCGGCTCCACCCACGGCCCGGCCCGACCCCCGCCCCGGGGCCGACTCCTCCCCGGCCCCCGCCCGCTGCCCACCGCCCCTCGGCGGTGCCCCCGTCCCTGCTGCCGGCGGCCCCTCGCCGCCCCTCGTCGACCTTTGAAGGCAGCCAAGAGCAGTGGGGAGTCCAGGGGATGGGGCTGCCGCCCCACACCGCTCGGCTTCACACCCCCGGCCGGGCAGGCCATGGGCCCGGGGGCGCTCCCCGAGCCTTGCGCTGGTGTGGGTTCGGGGGGAGTTGGAACAGCCGAGCCGCCCGCCAGCCCGGCCAGGAGCACCCCTGCAAAGGGTCGCAGCCGCCCCCCACATTGTCACGACAATGGGGAAACTGAGGCGCGAGGTGGCTGCCCCGCTCATCCACTCAACCCACTGTCCCCACACTCTCCAGCCCTCAGGCCACGCTGAAGTCCCGGCCACAGCTACTGGTGCCACCCGTGTTGGGATGCGGGGAGATTTAAAAGTAAGGGTTTAGACCTGTGTGTGTTAGGATCCAAATGGCGTTGGCTGAGCAAAATGGGCTGTTATGCCTGGCACAGAAATCCCACCTGAAATGCCTCGCGGTGCTCATTTGTGTATAAATACCTGTGATCCTCTTGTTTGATCTCTTCATCTCTGAATTTCAGTAGTCTCCGGTAGCTAGAAGGAAGGATCTGACAATGCAAAGAGACCGATCGCCCCAGGCTCATTCAGAAATCTCTGTCACGGCAAGCAATGCTATGATGCCAGTTGTCAAGGGCTTTTCCTCGAGTTTTGAGGTTTGTTATAACCAAAAATGACACTGCTGGCTTTGAAATACCATCTCACTGTGACCAAGCATGCCCATAAGCCATCTGTCTTCTTACCCTGCTTTATTCTGTGCCTTCAATGCAGACAGGTGCCAAGGGAGATGCTGGCATGTGCACCCTCCTCATTCACCAAGACCAAAGATTATTCCACCATCCTACTGGAAGGAGAAAACTCTGGGAAGAGTTATCCTAGATCAGCCCACATCTGGTCTGTTCATGGCAGCTGTGCCATTTTTCTGTGCTTCCTCAGGCTCTGCTTCCTCACTCAATTTTGTTTTTAGGACTACCGTTACTGATTTTGCATCCTTCCTGGCAAGTTCTGATTCTGTCTGTGAGTGGTATTAGCCTACAAAGCTGTCCTGAAGAGATTTCTAATTATTTCACTGCTGATGCTGAGTGATGTGGGTTTCATTGTTTGTTTGTTTGTTTTAAACTCACCTTTCAGGATGTACCTCTTTGTTTTGGAGTCATTGATTACCTTGCTTCATGACACGGCGCATGCATAGTCATGGCTGAAATCAGTTGGCCTCTAGTTTGGCAGAAGCATCACAGGAGTGGGCTCACCCTGAGTCACTCTGATGTGAGTGCCACAATAAGAAAAAAACAAATGGCAAATGATAAATACATTTTAAAAGATTCATCAATTTCTGGCCCTTTGATGCTCAGCTCTGCAGAAGCTGTGCTACATGAGGAGAGGATGGTCTCTATTTCTAGAGAGTAAAAGCGACTCGTACCACTCTCAGGAACAGAGCACTAGCAGGGGTCTCCTGTGCCTGCATTCCCTCCCTGATACCATGGGCAGTCACCTCATGTAAGTGTGATTAGCCATTGTGCTGGATTATGTAGGTCACCATGAGCATGGGTTTTTCTTCTATGTACTCAAAAGGGCTGAATATGAAACAGAAGGTAAAGGATTAACTCTCCCATTCTGTGTTGACGTTCAGGTACATGAAAATGTGTTTCTTCAAGTTAGGTTCTATCATGTGGAAATGGGTAGAAGTGAAAACCAAAAAGCATCTCTCACACAAGCATCAGAGAGGGTGAGCACGGGACAGGCACCCATGAGGGGAGAGAGGCATTTGTACAGCTACTCCTTTAAATCAGGTAAAACTTTTTTGTGCAGATGAGGCCTGACTATCTCTGATAGACTGAGGAGGGGGGCAAGGGGAAAGAACCCTTAGCCCTTTGCTGGAAAGATGATGACAGTGATGGAGCTGGAGTTGTTTGTGGGAGTGTGGATGTCTGCCATGTCAGGAAACTTACCGAGTCAGGGAAAAGGTGTGTTATCTCTTCCATCACAGACAGCACAGAACAATCGCAGCACAGACACTGGAGCTTTAAGCTGTGTACAAAGGCACACATTTTATAACCAAATACATGATATCTGACAAATTGTTCACTTATTATTCTAAACCTTCACCATTTAAAACTGTAAACTGCAAAGAAACAGTTTGTACTATCTGAGTGCATGAGAAATAAATCTGATGGGAACCTTTGCTCTTCCATGATGGACACAAAACAGGGAGCTTGAATCAGAAGCACCAGAATAAGAGGAAAGCAAATGCATTTACAGTTGTGGTTTCAAGCTGTGGCCATAATGGATAAGGTAATTCATCATTGCTGGCTATACAACCAAAGTAGTATCATAAAAATGCTTTCAGCTAAAAGCTTCGTTATAAGGGTGAACGATGCTTGCCTGAAATTTTGAAGGTTGCAATGCTCTGGTGGGCCAAAGAAATTGGGAATCATTGCTCTACAGAAAAGATGTTATTCTATTACATACATCAGTATTTTATTTCTGCTGACGCTTACTTTCCAGTCACTGGTATTTCTAAAACAAACATTTTGTTATACATATGGGATTGCAAATTTTGAGATACATGCCCAAGTGGCTGCGCAACTGAAATTCAGTAACAAACTGTTGCCTGAGAAGCAGAGCGAACGAAGCCTGAACTCACGCAAGTGTACATCTCATGGGTGGATACATTCTCTTGTGTTTAATAGAAGACAGGCTCCAACTGAGGCTTTCTCCATTCTTGGGGCACTGTCAAGATCACTCCCCTGGATCTCTGGTGTCTCATGAGGGTTACTCTGAAGCCGCAGCCTCTCCCTTATGACAGCACGTGCACACATATACACCCAAAGTGATATTGTAAGCCTCGTTTCCCTGGGAAATGAGGCTAAACACATGCCAATAAATTACTTCTTAAGCCCTCACCCAGCCCTTATGGCTATACCATGATATCACTCTCTCCACATTACCTCACCCCCATCCAACACCCACATCCTTCATGTCTCCTCCTTTCCCCCTCCACATGAAACATCTACCCTAGGGTATGGGGTTGTGCTTGCAGTGCTGTGCTGAAGTCAGTGATCACCACGCCTGCACTGCATTTTAGGTGACAATTCAAGAAACCAAGTTGTTTGGCAAGTGGCCTGCATGACAGGGCAATCATCTGTCCCTCTGAAGGTTAAGAAATTTGTAGCAGCATTATTTGGTGGAATTAAGAAGCAGAGCATTGTTTTGGAGTAGCAAATGTGTTAAGGTTGTAGCTGAGAAGGCTCAGCTCATGTGGCACCAGAGCCATCCATGTCGTCTTGAGCTACATGAGCAGTGACACCTCATGGACCAGAGTGCCAGTGCCTAAAGAAGGGCCAAATGACACCTGGGCTTTCACAGCAGAAACAGACCAAGAGTGCAAGATGTGAGGGGAAAGCCCAGGGCGGGGTTACACCCTCAAAGGTATGAGCATCAAACCCGAATGAACTCTAGGGTGATGGCAAGGCTGTTGTGAGCCAGCCAGTCCCCAGGGCTGTCACACAAGGATCACCTGCAGCATTTGTATTAATCATGATTCCTTAAAGCTCCGTTTCAGAACTGATGTAATAAAGTGCCATACCTTCCCCTTTCTCTCCCTAGCAGATGTCTTTATTTTGCAGGTTGTACTGGGGACATTGCTAACCAAAGGGCACACAAGTCTGGCACTAGCAGGCTATGTGGCTTGTATAAAATGAGTTCTTTAATGGCTAATGTGTTTGATGGGATATTCCATTAGCTAGAGCACAAAAATCCCTAAATACCTTTGACAACTTGGCCCTTAAACTTCACCCTTGATATCCCTGATTCAAGGTGAAGTTTTCTAACCTAAGACAAGCTCCCAAGGTATCATTTTGTCACAGCCTTTATCTAGCCCCAGCATCCAGGTGCAATCACCCAGCTAAGCTGTGCCCATCAGGAGTGGGCACAGAACTGCACTCATGCCCAGCCATTGTAACCGTATTCACTTTGCATTTGCCACAGCCTGGCCAAGGGTAACTTGGTGTTCACAGTGCCTCATAGGCTCAAGCTACACTCAGATCCAAGTCACGGTGTAAGATCTGCCCCAAAAACCTCAGTGTGGAAACAGTCACTCTCTCCTGAACAGTATAACATGCTTCTGTCTCAACATGTTCCTCGAGCCAGTTCACTCCAGGTGCTGCCAGACCATGATGGAGCACAGGTAAGTGAAATACTCCTGGGTTTGACTCTGCTATTGCACATGCCCTTTGTAAAGAGGCTGAGGGCACAAGGCTTATTCACACGGAGAAGAGACTCTGTCTGGAATGGGAGGATAGATTGAGGTCTCTTCCAACCTGAATTATCCAATGAACTTGTTGAGTCCTATAAGTTTGATAAAGTCTTCAAACTAAAAGCACTCTCACAAACCTGAGGTTAGCTCAGTGGTCTGAGCATGGTACTGATAACACCAAGGCTGTGGGTTTGATCCCTGATCCATTCACTTAAGAGTTGGACTTGATGATCTTTGTGGGTTCCTTTCAACTCAGAACATTCTGTGATTTCTGTGGAAAGAAGTCCTACCTATTCAGAAGCAGATTAGTACCATGCCCTGAAAGTGCCTCATAGGATGCCACTAGTCCATGGCCAAACAGCTCAGAGCTCACAAGTCCATTAGCCGTGCTCTGGAGATACAGTCCTGTCAGAATTACCGTGATTCCTTATGCACAACAGATATGGCTCACACATCTGGAGGAATAGCTGTCATGAAGGAAACAGGGTTCTCAGGCAGTCCCATGGCCCCTACTGGCACCTACAAGGCTGCCCTCCAGCCTCATGTGGAATATGAAGTATCCCAGCTGCCAGATATGTGCCCCTACCATTGTGTAGATAGTGATTGGTAATTGATAATGCAACAGGCAACTGCAGGATCCTGGCAAAATTAGTCTTGGACTGGTATCAAGGTAAGGTGAGTTGCCCGTCTTACAGGCAGATGGATGGGCCTGTCCAACTCATAAGATGGACTTCCTCATGTGTAATGTTACAACACAAACCAACATTCAGGTGTGTATTGTCATGGAGATAACACTGCAAGGCAGAGTCCCATCTTGCCTCCACACCTGCTGATGTCACAGGCCCTTCACAGCACATACTGTTAAATATGGCATTATTCTCTGCGAGGAAATAATCACCACTGCTTTACACCTCCTTCCCCATTGTCTCCCTCGTTTTCCAGACATATTTACTGAGGAGTTGCTAAGGTCACTTCTGGCAGAGCATAGACTCAAACCCAGGACTCCTCTTGTGGCCAGATAAAATTTCAGCTGCTTTGGCCTTCTGCATCATTGAGCTACAAAGATGTATGTGGCCCTGCCATACTCTGTACAGTAACCCAGGCACCCCATCCCCAACAGGCTACTGCTGTGGAGTGAGCGGTTATCTGCCACCAGCATATCCTGATTCACACAATTGAGAGCACTTTCTCCATTAGCTGAAACAGCACAAACGAGTTTGTGCTCGTGAATGTAGCAGGAAATCAACCCAGGATGTCTTGAGCTCAGACACAAGCCATTATAATCTATCAATTATATCACGACAAAACACAAGTGCTCCACATGCCACTCACTTGTCTCACCTCTCAATTGCTGCTGTCATGCAGGGGCAAGCTTAACATTTGAATGAAATATCCAGAAAAAATTCCTGGAGGTTTGCTAACACCTGACATCCTGCTGTAAAGAAGCAAGGTGCTCTCTCTTCAGCAGCCAAAGATCATCACTTGTGGTCTGGCTGTGGGACTCACAGATCTTGACTACCAAGTGAGAGCACCAAGTGCCAGAAGACTCAGTGGGCATTTCAAGGGGCTGGTTAGCCCCCTGCCATGCTCTCTCAGACACACCCTTCTCTCCTCCCTGCAGTATTTGAACACCTCTCAAGCACTGCTTGCAGCCAAAGCTGAATCCAGTGCTGGGCAGAGGAGGTGCCACGGAAGAGCCCCTGGAGAAGGATGCTTCAGAGCATGGTGCAAAATGGGAGCAGATTGGTGGAGACAATCAGATTTTTCAAACTAAGGAAACTGGTGAGAAAGGTCTCTCAGATTTTCCATAGCTGAGACAACAGGGCTGAGTTGTACCTGCATTAATATGAACAGCACAGGAGATGCTGGGGTTTGTGGAGCCAGCCCCATTTTGGGAAGGGAGGGCAAGGACACAGAGCTAACAAGCCTGCTGAGGTGTGGGGGGATTCTGTGTAGAGGCTTTTGTGTGCCTCAACATCATGCAATCCACCTGTGAGAGGTGGGAGCTCAGAGACTGCTGAGGTGACCCTCTGCAGAGCAGCTCTGTCTGGGGATTTCTCCTAACACGCATAATTTGTCTGCAGCTCTGTGACAGTAGAAACTGAGTACACCTAAGGATGCCACCAATCCATTCAAACAATTGCCACAGCAAATCCTGGCTCTTAACACTGCTATAGGAGTGTCAGAAAACATCTAAAACTCATGTCCCATAGGTACCTACCTCTTACCCTTACATTAAACATATACAAAACCCTCCCGTGGACTGCGCCAGCCACTTGTATGCTTCAGAGGACACAAGTTCCTGAGTTCTCCTATACACACTGAATAATTTTGCTAGCCATTTCTCATCCTCCTAAGGTTGAGCAATCCGCTAGCATAGAACACGCTCACACACACTTAGCTATTTGTCCCAGCCCTTGGCAGAGCCCGGGATACTTGCTAGAAGGCGTTCAGGAATTTTGCTGCCCAAAATGTGTTTGAATTATGTGAGTCGCTCCTGGGTCAGTGGGGGCTGGGTGTGGAACAGCAGCTCTATGAGTCACCAGGGGTCTGTGAGACCAGAAGGAAATGTCAGCACAGCCTTGTTTAACTGCAGACTGTTGCAATGCTCTGTACACAGATTCGGGATGTCTGTTCTGATGGTGTATATGAGAAAGCTTGGGAGTTGGCCATGTAAATTTGGACAGCTGACCTAGAACATAAACATGAGTTCAGGGACTCCTATAAAATGAGAAACTATGCTGTTAAGCAAGAAAATGTGCAACGTGTTAGT